GTAACAAGTGTAACTTTTGGTATCCAATGTTAAAGAAAATGTGCTAATTAAGATGTTAACAAATCATGGACAGTATAAAATGTGGTGGAAATTAAATGCTCAGTAACAGCATGCAAAATAAAGCTGTCCTGCTACATTCTATGGAGGTGCTTGTGGGAAAATTATAACTCCTACTTCTTCTTGACCTCGGCACTAGATTGGGGTAAATGGTGAGCACAACAACCCAGCCATGCTTTGCCCCTGGGGAAAGGATCCCAAGTACCTACTGGACAGAAAGCTGGGTACGACTCAGATGGTCTGGATACAAAAATTCCTTGCCCCCGCTAGAGATCGAACCCCAGTCATCCAATCTGTAGTCAGATGCTATATTGACTTATCTACCCTGGCTTCTTCAATACTAGCATGGTGTGTTTAATACTACAATATAAAATATGAGAATTCTCAAATAAGGCATGCTGACAGAACAAAATCAAAGTTGATTTTTATATACATCACATAAATGGGGTCGATTAAAGAAAGAAGGATAATTTCTAAGTTACTTAATAATGCCATATCAACTACTCAAGTTAAATAGTATCAAATGAAAATATAAAGATTATCATGAACAATAACCTGAGCCATATGCCTATTAATAATTTTTAGGTACTTGTGGGTTATCAGGACACATCACTTTAAAAATAGGTTAGGTTAGGTTAGTTGTCACTTATTGAAATAAAATAAAATAACTTTCAAGTATATGCCATTTATCCACACACATTAACGTAACCTAACCTATTTTTAAAGCGATGTGTCCCGATAACCCACAAGTACCAATTTTTATTAGTAGTTCATAATTATAATTAACAACAACACTGAACCGAGCATTTCCTTATATTTAATTTTAATTTACTGAAGTATTAAATATTCACTTCTGGCCTTCTTTCATAAATAAGTTCATCACTGAGAATGGCCAATATTTAATTTAAAAAAATAAACACCGTATTTTATTTTTAAAACATATGGCACAGGCAAAGTGCTGGCAAAGAAGTACTTATTTTAAGACATGTGGAGTGACTGAGAAAAGACTATTATATATAAATGAGGACATACCTAGAGATTTACGAAGGATCTCTTCACTGAGGAGACTACTGCTACTGGAAGGCATGGCAGCCCCTCTATGTGATGCAGCATTACGTAATGCCTCTAAAATGTCTTCATGGTAGCCATTGAGGCTCTTGAGCGTTCGTTCTACCTCTGAGATTGCTCCTCCCCCACCTCCCATCATGTCTGGACCCAGATTGTTGTCAGACTGGGAGAGGATTTCCTGGTTATCTGATTGTGAGTCTTCTGACCATTTTTCTTTGCACGCGTCTCCCATCACAGTTCCGTATGGCCCTGATTTCTTTAAAATTCCCTTCTCTGGAAGTTTTGACAAATTATTTGGCGGAAGATCGATGAATGAAACTGTTTCTTCCTCACCTAAACATGAGAATGACATAAACTGACCAACCAATTGCATGATAATGAAGAAAGCAGGTTGTTATGAATGGAATTCAGTAATGTATATTGCACAAACTTTCGCTCCACTATAAACACTCCCTTTCTCTATAATTATTTTAATTTTAAAAAATCTTGAATTTCTCTTACTTTTTATCAGTGTTCATATTTCACAATTGAGAATAAACAACCTTTCCTAAACTGCAAAACTGTCCTTCTATTTAACCATTTTTTGTGTATTATTTTTCCAAATTAACTTAAAAAATTGTACTTCTTATCTTCTTTATAAATCACATAATATTGTGTTGTTATTTTTAAGCATATGGCCTAGGCTGTATTGCTCATGTCAACACTATTTACAGCAAATATTTTGAAAAGTGTCTCCTCTTAAAAGTTGTCAGTAAAATGCTTATTAAACTCTTTTTCATAGAACATGCAATTCTTATCACATAGGTACAAAAAATAAAAAGTCAGCAATGTGAGTAAAGGAGCAGGTTATTAAATAAATAAATTTAAAAAAAATAGACATACATGTTCAAAGTAAGACCAGTTATGCCTGAAGAACATTTCCTTGGGGATTTGATAGTAAGTGATACAGATTTATTAAATCATGAGGCCGCAAGAATCACAAAAGCAATTCAAAATGTTTGCAACTTTTATAGTGAAATAAATGGACAGTTCATCACATTTTGTTTTTAATATGTAGTCCATACAAAATTGTCTCCAATGGGTATTATTTAAGATCACTATTTATTACCTAAAACTTTTGTTAAAAAGAGCTGAATGAACTCAAAATGCCAGGAACCATGTTTTGACTACAGAAGATAACCTATATGTCATCTAAAGGTATACAGCTGTCCTTGTGATATGAAGATATCTATAAGCTATGAGTTATGAGCTAATGAATTTATGGGCCAGTATGACCTGAGATTTAATGATGTCAAACCTTGTCCAGCTTTGAATTTTAAATTATTACAAATGAATTATGCCACCAAATATAACTTAGGCCACAATATAAAAACAATATGCATGTCAGTGAACACAGAACAGAAAATGAGTTGACCCAATTTATGGCATCAAAGTCACAAATAAATATATCATACCATTAAAAATAAACATAAGGAAACAAACTGTAAAAGACCCTTGTATAGTCTTTATTCATTACCTAATATCAGGTAGAATTATAATAACATAATGGATTACAGGACTGTGTTAAGAAATAAAATTCTATGAAAATAAATATATATTAAGTCCTATATAAAAAACTTTCAGTACAAATCCAAATTCACTTGTCCTGTTAAACTCCTTTTCTAGATTAATATAACATTTCAATTTACAACACACAATATTTATGGAATGCCGGTTAATGAGTAATTAATTACTCACAAGTAACAAGCAAAAGTTATTAACATAAATGTCAAACGCTCTACAGTCATGACATTCGGTATGTTTGCAGTTGTGGGAATTCTGCAACAACTTACATTTTTTTATAATAATAAACTTCTAAGACATATTTTTTTATAATTTACTTCTTCTGTTGTCTGACAACTTAATTTAAATAGACATGTGCACATTAACTCAGAAATACTATATACATAAAAGAAGGATGAAATTTATACCAATAATTATATTGTTATGCATAAAGCTACTGACTTCATACATGTCTTTTACATAAAGCTATAAAATGTTTCCATAAAAAAATTGTCTTAAAGAAACAAAAACTTAAGACAAGAATTCTCACCTGAATGTGTGGCATCTTCCTCACTTCCAGACCCAACTCCCATTCGCTTCAACTGCTGCATCTTATGTTCCCTATATGAAAAGAAACCAGAACAACCCAGGAGCACATGGCACTAGTCCAATCTGTGCTTCTGTATACTGTAACATTTTAAAAATAACACTACTTGCTAAACTATGGCCATTTGCATAATCTGCTGAGGTACAATATCATTGCTTTCAATGTACAGTACACATCTACGCTTAATGCGGGTGACTCAAGATGTTATATTTAACTAAAAATGAGTGGAACATTGAACTCTGATTTGGAATACTGAAATCTTTTATTTCTCACATAAAATTGGTCTTGAAGTTAACTCTTACTGATACAGATGTACTGTTGACAACTAACAAATGATAAAGATACTCGATTATGAAAAGCGATAAGCAACTCCAAACTTAAATTTCACCAAAATTGTAAGTAAATAAGTAGGATTTGAGGTTTTCATGGCAGCGAGTCCAAAGACTGCTGTCTTATGGGTTGTTGCACTGTGTAGTCTGGTAGAAATTTACTAATGTTTTAGAGCTATTTCCTGCCTCCATCTTCATGCCCCATTACCTTAATGATGGAGGCAACAAGGACCTCTGAAACATTGGTAAACTTCTACCAGACTACATGGTGCAACAACCCAGAAGACGAGCCTTCTTCCCTTGTAAGTAAAAATCTTTTAATATCTATTAAGTCCTTATTACAAAGCAGTGACCATATAATATTAAACATTTTCTGTTCTGGAGATAAAAGCTTTAATGCAAATGGCCATGATATTGATTTGGTTTGAGGGAACTACATTATAAATCCAACATATTTTCATTTCATCACTGGAAATGTATTATACTGCTTTCATGACTGAATAATACCCTCAACCAAACAACTTTAAATATAATTTGTAGCACAGGTGCATTATCAAAACATTATACTTTAACCTTAAAGACTAAAGACTACATAACAAATACAAAGTTAGAGTCAAGTTTAAGTAAAATGGAGTGGATTGTTGAACTCGTAACTTCTACTGTGTACAAACTTACATAGGACTATATTTTATGGCTTCATGAAGTAACATTAAAGCTGAATTACAACCAATGTTCTGAAGACCTGCTCTGTATCCATAGTCAGGGTCAATGTGGGTGACAGACCATACGTCACTGATACATATCTCAGTCAGTCTTTGTGTTGCCTCTTCCCTGTTGGTGTTCAAAGTAACTGGAGGGTGGTGTTAATCTGAGTGATCTCCCTCTTATATTGTGCTGGTTCTCTGTTGCTTAACCCAGAGAATGATCCTCTGTCAAGAAGTTCTTGTCTTCATGTCCACCAACAAGCTTTAAAATCTTGTATTAGTCTGAAGCCCTCTTCCAGGTAAAGCTATATTTGTATCACATCCTTAATAAGAACCTGATTATGTGGCTAGCACCGTATTTTCCTTGAACATCATCTGATGGTCTAATTTGATGCTGTGCCCCACAAATGAAAATCTGTTTTCCAGATACAATCTTAACTATCATCTGTGTTCCTTGTATGTGGTCTCTGTGGACAGTCTTCATAGACTTCCATCACTGACCATGATAATGGAGACAAAGTAGGCCTTTGAAATGCTGGTTTTAACTTAACTTTGATATGAATGATCCCTATGAAAATTTTAGTAAACAAAATACTAACAACACAAGACACTGAATCATGCAGACATTAACACAGATTACAAACAGAAGTGACACCACAGAACATAACTTGTTTTCTGTGTTTAAGTAACAACCATTTCCCTTGTAATAAAGTCTAACTTGATTTTTGCATCCATATCCAATCCTCCATGCAACAAATGCACATATTTCCCTCCTTTTTAAAGTAAATAACAGACACAAAATACCTTTTGGAGGTTCACTGGTCATCACAAAAGATACTATGGTTCATTATATTCTGAAGTACATAAGAAAAAATTATGATTACATCATAATTTTGAACACCAAAATTTGTCTGCAAACTTCTTTTTTATCTCAGCGAGATTTCAGGTTCTTACAGCAGTGAGTATGAAGACAACTATTTTCTGGGATGTTGCACTGTATATTTATTTATTGTTTATTCAGTAACACTTTTTCAGTAGCTGAGACTATACAGCATTGAATGAGAGGGCGATAGTGTTGGAAAGGATGTAGAAAGAAGCGGTCACGGCCTAATTTAAGGTATTATACAGAAATTTGCCTGGAAGGGCTGATAAGAACCATGATAGCCGGTCTGAACCCGGGACCTGCCAAATACAAAGCTGGAGTGATAACCACTAGGCCAAGATGTTTATTTGCACCGTATAGTCTGGAGAAGTTCACTGATGTTTTAGAGGTACTTTCTTTACTCTGATGATGGAGTCAGCAGCACCTGTGAAACATCAGCAAACTTCTACCAAATTACATGGTGCAACATCTCAGAAGACAGTCATCTTCATATTTTTATCTTGTCTCATCTGCCCTGAAAGAAGACTTGAACCTGAATCATCACAAATCTTACAATTTTAAAGATCAAACCCTTTGGACCACACCCCACCACTTCAGACAGTGAGGGAATGGATAGGTGGAGAATCATAAACATTTATTGCTTCCTTTTGTTATAAGGGCATAAGTAGTTGTCATTCTGTGTTTCTGTGGGCACTATTTGGATATGTCCTATGTTATACATGCCAGCGAACAAAAAATATAAACAGAGATATCTTTGTAACACCTCATAAATTCCATACGGTGCTGAAAATTCAGTGCAAAATAAAAGTTGGCATGATACCTCATGATGCAACATACCATTTGACTTCACCATTTAATATAACACCTTCTTAAAGTGCACATGAATAATATTAATTCATCCAATACATATTTGTTATATATAACTGACAACTGAAATTTTAAACAATATAATTATGGTGGTCATTTAGGTTGTGACACTCTGATCTTGTACATGATTACTAATATTTCAGAGTAACATAACAGACTTAACTGCTGTAGCAGGAACGTCTTCTTCATCTGTATACGTGGTAATTCCGATATAATTTTTATTTACAGAATGCACTAACACATAGCTTAACCATCAAAGAATATAGGAGAAATTTATTTTTCAATGGCACTGTTAACATAAAATTTTTACAAGAAACTGGTGTTCCTGAATGAGAAGTCTCATTTGTTGCATGAAGCATCATAGTACATTAACACAAAATATTTTACAGTGGTTTATTTTTATATTTAAAGGAATAATGAAACAAATAAAGTACTGACAGGTCCTAAAGAAACAAACAGTGTACCTAATCTACTTAATCAATCACATCTCAGAAACACAGAATTTCATCTACACCAAAAAAATAAAATGACCTATTATGCTGTCACTTGAAACAGACAAGAATCTGCTACCAGCACACTGCTACTTTAAGCATAATGTGATGACCAGTGACTAATAAAGAGATGATACATATTGCACAACACAAGTATGATTACAACATTCACCCTTGAGACATAAATTTTCAGTCCAATGAAAATCAGTCACAACTAAAAGAATCATAAAGATGGCATTTATGTGACAGTGATTGCCAGATATCACAATGCTTCAATGCAACAAGTTGAATGTTGGATGCATAACAACCAAAGTCTGTACACAGCAACACTGGGTATATACTATAATGTATTATACAGAAAAAGAATGGAAAGAAATTTAAGAACAAAATAACGACAAAGCAGTGAGCAAAATAACAAATACAAACACTCCATTATCATTCTGTAATAGCTGTAAACAAATAAACAAACATAACATTAACTAAGTAATGATTACACTACACAGAACACTTTTGATGTAAGATTTGAGGTTTTCACAGCGGTGAGTATGAAGATTTCTGTCTTCTGGGTTGTTGCGCTGTGTAGTCTGGTCGATGTTAACCAACGTTTCAGAGGTCATACTGCCTCCGTCATCAGGGCGATGAGTATGAAGATTTCTGTCTTCTGGGTTGTTGCGCTGTGTAGTCTGGTAGATGTTAACCAACGTTTCAGAGGTCATACTGCCTCCATCATCAGCTACACAGCGCAACAACCCAGAACACAGAAATCTTCAACACTTTTTGAACTTCAGTTTCACAAAAATGAAACTAGAGTATAAGTTTCAGTAACAATCATTTTCATATTAACTAAAATCTGTCCATTCATCCATGCATTCCCATGTGCTGGCATCAATAAATTCAAATTAATATGGGACAATACTTATGCTACAACAGTTCTCTCTATGTGACAGCAAAGTCTGATGTCTCAACTCACTACAGAAATAATGCAACTCTGTCTGCAATTAAAATATAAGTAATTTGGAATATATGTGAAAAAATGTGAATGGTATTACTATGTTATATAGCATAACAGATTTATTAGCTGTATGCATCATACTGATGTATTTTGAAGCACATCATGTGCACATTATGTTAAATGTAAAAATTTCAAACAGCTCAAACAATACAGACTTAAATCATAATTTTTGTTCAGTAGATGCTGGATTATAAACCATGAATAGATCTGATTCACAAGTAAAAATATATTAATGGAAATGGTGCACATATTTGATATGGAAAAGTATTTTGTGCACTAAAATGGATAATGGTTTTCACAATCAAAACAAACTTATCCAATTAAATTTTCCCTACTCTTCTTTAGTGAATAAAACAGGCAATAAAAAAACCGAACCTTAGCAAAATGATCATCAGACATCAAGTGTACAAATATAATGAGATATGACATCAATAACCAGATGAATTGAAACAAGACGGATTTACATGTGGGGTTCTGTGGGTTCTCAGTGTTTACCAAGATACCACACCAAACAAGCAAGCAAACTTTAGTATGACACCTAAGTATGTTTCACCAGTGAAAGTAATATTTTTGAAAAACAATTACATGCAAATAATAGCTATTTGCTTTCAGCCTATAGCAATGTTTACATAGCCAAGATATATTACAAGTTAATTACATTTTAAAGAGTACATCTTAATAGTTTAGTTTGTCATATTAAGGTTTAAATCAGTAAATTTTATTTCAGTATTTCAAAAGTTTACTTTCACTGTTCTTTCAAAGAAAACAACAAAAGACAGAAGAGTGAGGCATAAAGGTATAGAACAAATTATGTGATTAGATTATTTTCATCTCAAACACATAATCACCCTAGTTACAAAACAGTTGCTTATGGACTTGTAACTGTGACAAACAGATCAAATATTGTGGCTCCAACTTGGTTTTAAACTGTTACATTTTGTCTCAAATTCAGTGTTCTTCATGTTTCACTGTTAAAGACAAATAACATGTAGATTTAGAACACACCGTGTTTTCAATATGTATTTTACATCTACACAAATATACTGATTTGTGAATAATTTTCAGGAATGGGATAAGAGATGTCAGAAAGCCCAAGAGCGTGAAATTACTGAACAAATTGAGAAATATGCTTAATCCTCAGTGACATTTTCACATCCCAATTAAAACTTATCATAATTAAGTATTTATTATCAATGAAATATTCTTGAAACTTCCACAACATATTTCAATATTTAAACTGTATGATAAATCAATTAATTTATTCCTTAACTAAAAACAGAAACTTTTAATAAGAGAAGCTGTAATACATTAACTGTTGAGTAGCAGTCATTGACAAATGAGTGCAACCTTTAAACCTCACTCTGCAATAAGAAATGTGAGAAGTTAATAATGCATGAAAGGAGAATTATATTTTACTACTATGGTTATGTGACTGAACTAACTGGAAGCGTGTGTTGAGACTGCCAGCTGTCATATGGTTCACAGGGCGGAACAGCACCCGCTGCGAGTCTCCACGACTAACAAAAACAGACACAACAGTTCCTCAATCAGCCCAATCTCTCAGTCAGTTCCCCTTTTTCTCAGTATTTGACAGAGTGGACTTCCTCAGTAGGTACAGTGAGACATACATTCCAACACGTTCTCTTGTATTCATAAATATACACCTTACAACAATTTTAAAATTTCAATTAAAGAGTGTACTACATTTTGAAACACAATAGGTAATTAAAATATCAACTCAGAATGGAGTACACTATTCTGTTTCTTAAAAATAAAAAACTTCATAAAAATGTGAAGAAAAATTCTGCATGTATTGATTATTATCTTTCTTTCTCAGTACAAAAACAGAAAAAATGTATGAAGCTTGTGTTTATTATTTAAAACTGTAATCAAATTTAACAGATACTTAACATTCAAATTTTCAGTTACATGTGTATCAAGAAAAAAAATCATTTGACATTTTGATTCGTAAATGTTTAGCTTAACTGAAATCATCAGACAAAAGACACCAACACCAAGGATCTCCCCTCTGTACAAAAAGTCTCCTTGCATACAGAAATAACCAGCAGTGAGCATAAAAGGAAAGAATAAAGAAGAAATACTGTTCACACAGGTATTGATATTCCAAAAAGAGATACAAAGACAGTTTGGATAAAGGGGTAAAAGTTGTTGTTTATGATGTGAACATGTATATGATTTTTATAGCTGTAATCACTAAATGAAGTAAATATGTACAATTTTTTTATGATTGCAATCACTATCACAGTTCAACATAAATGATTATAAAAAAATTATATTTAAATTTTAGTTTGCTGCAGGACAATTTCTCATCTATAATACAGAAACTTGTCAGGTACAACTTGTGGATGAATTATCAGGGGGTAACATACTCATTATGACAAGCAGAAACTTCATACAGGCAACTTAAGGATGCTGAGAGGTTCACTACCAAGACCAATGCTCATGAATATTATTCACTGTACCTTTCACCATTTTAAATATAGTTATCTCATTATATTTAGTATAACCCATTATAATTAGCAGCCTATCTGTATTTATTGGCAACAAAACATAATGTAGTTTTGATAAATACATTATAATTTCAATTAAATTATCCTTAATATTCTTTCATTTCCCTTGAATAATTGGAAATTTCTTAAGAAATATCTTTCGATATAACGACTTTTATAATAAAATATTTTTCATGTGAGAACCACATTAACATACATTTCTACAAATCATCTACCAAGAAATATCCAAGCCCTATGTAACAGATTTTCCAAACTCAGAAACAATGTAGACCTTCAATGTGTCCTTAGAATTTATGGTATAATTTACAAGTTTTCTACTTTGAAAAACATTAATGATAGAAATATTAACATAACATAAAATGAAAGGTAAACTGCAAGAGTTTACCTGTATTGTTAATTAAGGTAAATACTTGCCCCATTTTTTACTCTGCATGTGTAATTATTATTTTAATTGTTACTATACCTGACTGATAACAAATGTTCTTATAACTCAGCTAAGTCTATGAAACTGCACTCAAAATCAGATACAATCTTTAAACTTTGTGAAGACCCACCTCAAGAAGTCAAAGTATTTTCTAGGACCACAGATTGGAAGGAAATGTATAAAATAAACAGTGCACAGTATCAAAATTAATGACACTGGAGATCTGAAGCAAGAAATCAAACAGTTATGTCTGTACCTTCAAATGCAATCACTTGGCCTTGGCAATACCTAGGAAACGAATTACATGCAAATTTAAGTCATCCTATTATAGGAATGCCAGTCATACTTTAACTTTATGGTTTAACAGTTTAGTGGTAGTTTATTGTAACACACACCCAGTTGGACTATGCATAAGCCATGACAAACTGATGATAAAGGTAAATGTTTCTAGCAATAATTTTTTACAAAATAGCAGAGCTAGAAAACTGCACCATGTCTTTATGGACAGACTGTATATAAAATGAAAAGGTTACACTTGCTCAATATAAACATGCCAGGGCCGGAAATAAAGCATTGATACCAGTGTCATTCTAATGCAAGTGGAAGTACAGGAAAACTGAAACAAACAACCCTGAGCTCGTAAAGAAAATTAAGTGATATATGCAGGGCTTCAGAGATGCCAATAAAATATCTGGGTGTCAGGAATTTGTTTGCAAGTCTCCAGATACCAGATGATATGAAAGGTGAGTGCACATCAAGGGATGAAAAATAAAGTAGTAAAAAAATTAAATATGTCCTATCATCAAATACAATTAAAATATACACAATAAACAGTGGTATTATATTACATGCAGATTAAGACTGTCACAGGAAGTAACGGACATTTCCGCAAATTTTATTTTTAGGTGTGCGTTTGAATTTTTTTAACATGTTGTGAATAACATACTGCTGACTTGTGAAATTATATGCTGAATGAATAGCCAGTTATGGAGAATATGTGTTCTTAAACGCTGTCCTCTGTGATCGGCATACATAACAATAAGGCGATGGTCTGAAAAACTTCTGTGTATTGAGATATGTGTTAGGAGAATGTTACATATAACAATGTTTATGCAACATGATGACCACTACTATCATACATTTTCTTTCATACACATTGATGTACATTCAACCATGGGATATGATATCCACAAATATGTTTCTGGTGCTTTCAAGTCTTATAGTCATACCTCTGTCTCCAAAATATCTCATTTAATTAACCAGCATAATTTATTATAGTTATTGTAAATCTGTTCATAACATATATAAACACAGACAAACATACTGCAATCATTTCCTAAAAATTAAAAGTGCTCATTCACTGGGTGAATTCCACTTGATTCTCTTTTAATGTTCAAACTGACTGACTGACTGACTGACTATGATTCTCGTTTAACCACATAATGCTCAATACTGCTTCTCTGGTATGCAAGTGACTGCAGTATATGTTGCAAGGAAATTAACTGTAAACTAAATGAAAAGGAAAATGACACTTACTTTCCATAGCAAGGGCTCAGGAAACACAACAAAGAATATCAAACATTCTACCTACATAAATTCAGATGCCAACTAATAATTCAGTACTTGCAATAACAGAAATACTTTGTGATATTAATTTGTCAATAATCTTGTGGATTCCTTCTCTAGAAAATAGTTTTTTTTATCATTTTTACCTGAATCAAATGCAACTGAATTTTTCTTCTACAGTGACCAACAGGAATGAAGGCAGGTGGTGCTCAGAGAAAGAGAGAGATAAATTGTGATGTTTCCTCGCTAATAATTCTTTCTTTCTGCTTACATCACATGCTTCAGAGGTATATTATTGTGCTCTGGTAACATTGTGGACTGGCATGCCAGTGTCTGCTTCATGCTTGAAGTAATTCAATACTTTATATGGCAAATGCCCAAGTGAGCATACAGCAAGTGACAAGCTAATTGGCTGCTGATGATGGCATGTAACAGTAGATGCACAGAAGCATCCAAAACTTGATCACCACTATTCGTGTCAGTCAGTATGGAAGGAAAAACTCACCTATATGCCAAAAATATCTTTGATAAATAATATTAAATGTAATCAGTATTTTCTTTCCTCTAAAGTATGTCAATAATGCTTGAACTATTATAAAAATAATTTCTAACATGACATATTTCAATAAAAGTTTTATACATGACTGATATGTTCCTTAAACTGCCATAATGTTATACAGCAATGCTATATTACAAAAATAATAAATTAAATATATTCTAAAGTAAATTGAATGTGTTTGCTGCAGTTTTATTTAAGTAGCTGGTAAAACTAAAATATATTAAACAGGAAACTGTCACATTACCTATAGAAACCAGTTTTCTTTATATTATTAGCACTAAACTATGAAATAGCTTGACACAACTGCATAAATTCTACCATTAATTTACACGCAGTTTTATATTGCCTCCCCCTTACTAAAGTTAGTCTCATTTTTTAATAATATATGAAAAGAATTTGTGAGTTATCTGAAAAGTAGATCAGATTAATGATGAGCATTTCTTACAGCTTAAAACATAATGGACATAATAAATATAATTTAAATTAAACATTTTCTTATACAACCTTGCATTTGAAAATTATAGTAGAATAAAACACACACACACACATCCTGCATTCACGCAGTACATCCAGACCAGGTCAGAAATAGTTTCTGATACAGAATTAAATCATAATGCTACACTGTCAGTTAAAACTGACAGTGCTGTATAGGTCTTGGGACACCAATGGGACTAAAGGGACACAGAATAAAAATTAATATCTCATGGGAATAATAGAATATGGATAAGTGATAAATGACTTTAAGTTCCCCTTAAGTAGAGGAGCAATAATAATAAAAAAAATTAAAATGTTGATGGCATTTTAAATTGCATTCCTTTGTAATAATACAGACCTGATGTACAATGTTTTCAAGCAAATAGAAATAAACTTGAAAAGTGCCTCATCTCAATCACATAAACATATTATATTATTTGTTATAATTTCTGTACTTTTGAAGGGAACACTAGAAAAATATTTGTCTGTGAAATGTGTCAATCAATTCAGTAGCCATAAACAAACAGCTTTTTAACAAAGGAAGCATAGGCGAGATTTAAGGATCTCACACCAATGAGTATGGACAAGGCTGTGTTCTCGGATGTTGCAACATGTAGTCTGGTAGACACTAACCAATATTTCAGATGTGTGAACCATCACCCTGATGATGGAGGCAGTAAGCTCCTTTGAAATGTTAGTCAACATCTACACACTGCATAATGCAACATCCTATAACACGGCCATCTTTGAATAAAGCTTAATCCAATACATTACATAGAAGTGCCTTGGATGTCCACAGTTTTATTTTTTACTTCATTTACTTATAACTTACATTTTACAAATATGAAGCAAAGACCGCAATATAATTTACATTGACTCCAAAATGGCCATTGCTATTTACAAAACACTAATGACACAAAAAATAAAAAATAAACATTAAATTTCCAAGAAAGTGCAAACTGCACAGAAGAGAATTAGAAGTGAGTAATTTATAACTCAGCTGCACTTCAAATTGCAGAAAGACCATGGGTCCATATCAACATGAATATACCATGGATTTCAGTACAACAGGACGAAAAAGCATCGTTACTACACTATAAATCAATAAATGAATGTGATGAATTTGCAGGTAGAGGATAATAGTGGAAAGCAACTTATTATCTAACATTAACATGACACAGACAAAATTTCCAGCATTCTTAATTTTCAAAAAAGTTCATGCTCCTCTATTTCAGTGGCACTGAATAATCAGTGGTTTTGTATTTATAACGAAAATAATGTATACTGCCCTTCACAGGCAACTGCTCTTGCCCTCTATGTGGGACTGGGTGTGGTATACTCTTACCTATAAGAAGGCATGCTTCCAAATGTTAGAATCTTGTTCACACTTTCCATGGCAGCCTCCTCTGGGTTATGGTTAGGCCCCTTACCAGGATACTTCTTCGGCATGGGCTTTTTCACATACGGCGAGTCATATTTTGGCACTGTGCTCTTCCTTCTGGGAGGAAAATTAAAACAGAAAAGAAAAAAGAAAGAAAGAAAATATAAAGCAAAATAATAATTCCAAAGATTAAGTCCACATGGACACATACTATGTGATTACAAAATTATTTTACAAAGATTTCTGCATATTTTTAATAGAAATTGCTATTGCCATATGGAATTTCTAGGGTGCAATATTACTAAAGGACAGGTGAACCATGTCTAGGCACACAGTGCATTGTTAAATGCTAATGAAATACTGGATAACATAAATGTATCTTATGATAAACAGGCTTGCCCAAGCTTATATTTCTTTCATTTGAACCAAACTCAAGTTGAGCTGCTGCAATAATGAATAAGGAAAGAGAACTTGAGTTACACAATCTATTTACAGCACGGACAATATGTAACAAGGGTGTTGTCTACTGTAAATCAAAGATTCCTCTGGTATGTCTTAGGAATCTGTTATTAATGAGTCTGACAATTATTTCCTGTCTCATTGCATTTGTCAGAACTGGGCTGAGACTGAAAGACACAAAGAGCAACTTTTACCTTCAGAATTTGGAGAACCTTCTGACCACCTCCTCCCCAACCAAAATGCAAAGTGACTACATCACACAAAATAAAAATTAAAATATAATTCCTTCAATACCATGGAACAGTTTTTAACTTATTAGGACATAAATTCTGATCAATTCTTATATTCCACTTCAAATGAGGCTTTTATATTATTAATAATTTAAAGTGTACATCACCGTGATTATTCAGTGTCAGCTATTTACAGAATTGCTGTTCATGACCAACAATGATGAATTTGTAATATGTTTATCAGTAAGATGTGGAAAATACATTTGGTAAAGTCAACTACATGTATTCTGTTTCAAATTGTGTGCAGGAAAAGTGTCTGTTCTTTGGAGGGGGGAGGGGGGTTATCAGCAGAAGAGGGAATTAAAACTTTGTAGTGAAAAAGACATGGACTGATGCTTCATTGTAAATTTTGATTTATTAGGCAATTTTACTTCTCTAAGTGACTCATGCGGCAAGTTTTAAAATTTATTATTCTACAAATCAAAATCATTTTAGAAATGCACAGCAAAGAATTTGTTAAAATTTATCTGTTTAAACATAGTGTTTTGTCATGCTCTAAAAACCAATATAACAGCTTCATAATTTGTAATGTAAGCTGCTGTTGCTGATGGTGTATATTGTTATATAGGATGTTAAACAAAGACACATATTTAAAAAAAAATTATAAGGATGATACCACTAACGAAACCAAAATAAACCGACACTGAAGTGGGTGCTATAAAATATCTGGCACATATTATAAAATGTATTCTTCCAACAGTGCTAAAGTATGCTGTCATTACAGAGATTCAGTTTTTGAGAAGATATTGAAGCAACAATACTATTTCAAACACAAGCTCATTCTTAAGTCTGGCTCAAATCAAAGTTTAAAAAACTTGATAAAATGTTAAAATTATTGCTTTGTAATATTTGATTTCTTACAGTAAACTAAAAAGTTGAGCACAAACTGGTGCATTTATCATTATCATTTTCAGAACTACAGAACAGTAACTTATATTCAAGAACTACAATACAAATACCTACATAATGTAATACTGTGTTTAAAAAAAGGTCACTCACAATAGCAGAAGAAATTTTGCATGCTCCAAATATTACACTGAATGCAAAGTGAACAATTAAGAACAAGAGAGAGACAGAGAGAAAGAATAACACATCAATGTAGAATGGATTTACAGAATAAAATATGGAAGAGAAATGTATGTTGGCAACACTTTTTATACAAAAACTAAAATTACAACTGTCGTGATAAATTTAAAGTATGTTCAGATCAGAAGGAACAGTAATGACAATGTTCCTTCCAAAGCGTGCCAATTCAACACATTTAATATTTCATTGTTAATAATTAGGCAATACATTAACAATAAGCAGGCTATTTAGTTTGGTGTAATTCTGTGCATCGTGTGCTATTATAAGCATTTTTCTATTATATCCTTGAAATTAAAGGAGTGAAATTATCTGATATGTGGAGGTATTCAGGATAGGAAAGGGGGCACACCCATTCCTTGCAGACAGCCCAACAGACACACTACAACACAGCGACATTTAATCAACACACAAAGTAATTTGCAGTAAGTGAGAACTTTCTGCAAAAAGACCCTGTCCTTCAAGGGCATTTAACTAAGAAATATTTTTCAATAAATCAACAGTCAAGTGATCACTCATGTAGAGAAACTTAAGTACATTATTAAATGAGATACTTATGAATCATGTAATTAAAAGTGAACTGCTGTAACTGGGGATACTGAAGAACCTAACTTTATAACAGTACAGTTGATTCAATTGTTGCACTAAGAACAAAATGCATAAGAGTACATGAAATTTTAACACTTCACTGTGTCTATAAACAAAATGTTATCTCTTTACTTTAATTCATATGATGGAACAAAAGTTTGAGCACTTCCAAAAATATGGTTATAAGTACACATAGGAGATAAAACTGAAGATTAATCAGTGTTCTAGATTTTTCAGCAGAGATGTATATGAGTGTAATGTATCTGCTAAGGAAGTTCAGAGTATAAATAAATTATTTCCTATTTTGTATGCATTTCTGATGAATCCTCTTTGCAGTACATCCTTAATTTTTTTTACAATTTAATATTAAATTTCATTCTGTAATTCTGACCTAAAACTGTTTTAGGAATATAAAACACATATAAATTCAGTATGATTTCAAAATTTCAGATATAAAATTTGATTTGGCAACGTGAAATGTACACATAAAGCCTAAAAATTGTAATTTTTGACCAAGAACCTAACATTCAGAGGTAACCTCCAAAGTAAAGCAATAGTTCTGTAAAAAAATTTATTTGAAAATTAGCATTTTGACACTTTAAAAAGTCTTTAATGTGTTTCTACCTTAACATATCATATAACACAACCATTTAATGTGTGGCATATACAAATTTTGGGGAGAACTGTTTCTAATGCACCTAATATTTTCTGTGAAACACTTGTAATTTCAGCACATAATACCCACTGATGATTTAGTAAAATATACTTAAAAGTAAAAAATTAAAAATTACTTATAATGTTATAACCATACTTAAGATTTATTATTTTAGATATTGTACTTAAGTTTCCAGTTCACATACAGCTATTGTTATTACATAAGACACATCAATGAAGCAGTGTGATATTTCTCAGGCAATCACTGGAGTGAATGGGGAAATTTCATGCATGAAAGCTGTCAGTGTTGTCAAGAAACAAAGACATCTAAGAACTATTGTACCATACCATATATTGTCTGCAGCACTTGCTGTACATTTCAATACAAACTGAGGATAGTAATTTTGGTGTTGCCACAAACAAAATACAGTAAAAGCATGATCTTGTGATCATTATTAACCTCAGTCTGGCCAAGGGGGAATGCAGGTATTTCTATACATGACAGAAAACAATATAATTAAAAAGAAATCTAGCCCACAATCACTACACAGAAGAAACACTGACATCGGTGTTTTTAAACATATCTCGACTTGTAGATCTCATTTATTTTAATGCTACCATTACTGATTGTAATATCAACCAATAATCTGACCACACAAAATGAGATCTGAGTTCATGCTGAGATAACAGAGTTGAAGAGCTTTGTTATTATTTTTATCACTTTCATGTTGTTTATATCTAAAATTTCTGCATGTGAAGCCCATAAAAAACAACACCTGAAAGTGTAACAATACAGCAAAACAAAAACTATTGTTTTCTGAACTGCCTTCCTACAACTTCAATTTGGGAATAAATAACAAATTTTCTGCAAAAGATAATTTGATATACAGCCAAAAGTTATAAAATTAAATTATCTTACATGTAAAACATTTGTGTTATATACTGAAGTACTAATAATAATGAGTTTAGTTATTTTTATACAGACAAATTAATGACTTGATTCTAAGGATAACCTTGTAACTCCTAACAGTAATCCATTCACCCTATGCAATTTCCATCTTCAGAGTATTAAAGTGGTTGTCTATAAGAAACAAAAGTCCTTAACCTTCCTGCTAAGGTAAGATCACTTTCGTGCTTTATGAGTATGGTAGTCTGCTTAGAACAAACTGTAATTAACTTCTAAATTAAGACTGTCTTCTGCCAGTAAATGTTTTAGGTCCTACTAGTACAGTTTCTCATATTCTGTTTGTGGACACGAGTCAACATTTTTTCCTGCACTGTTTACTGTAAAATGATGGCAATTTATCAAAACTGAATATATGAAGTCAGTGTATAACATGGAAAACTCTTTGTAAATTTCACAACATTTCATCACTATATTTGTATGTGGTAGATAAGATGTGAATTATACTTTGTACTATTATTAGTTATTTATTTTACTACTCTTAAAGGACATGAATTCATAAGCGCATACTGAATTTATGGTTCAATATTTTTTTGTACCCATTAATTACATATTCCTTCAGATAGTTAATTAAATTTCAAACATATTATGCAGCAATAATGTTTGAAGTAATTTGAAGACCAAAAACAAACTGCAATTTTCTTTGAGACATCCGTTCAACTGCTAAAGCGAGTGAACTTTGAAAAACTCAACAGTGCTCATCAAGTTACAGTCTGAAGGTTTTTGACAATAGTGCATTATTGTCTGTACGAGTCACTCATTAATGTAAGCAACAAATGACCGTATATTTCTGGTACTTTATATTAACATATTTGAAAAAAAGAGGCAATGACACAATAACTACTGTCAATTTGAAAGGCTACACTATAATTGCAACTATCATGTAGCTTCAGTATTTCACAATAAATTCACTTAACACAGTTCTATCTCATTTGTCAGTCAGTCTCTCAGTCACTCAATAGTCATGAAGGGAATTATTTTCACCAGCAAATAATATATCAGATATTACTGTCCTCACCAATGTCATCAATGTCAGTACTCCTCAAATCTTAATGTTTAAGAACACCGAACCTAATGAATTTACTTACAAAAAATATATAAAAACTGAAGTGAACATGAGAAACTAGCTGCTGCTGATTTGTTTTCTGCTCACTAACCTGAGGCAGAGGGAGAAGTTTTTGTGTACTACGACTGACCTGTAGCAGAGAGCCATCAGAGCAAAAACTATGAAAACCCCCCCTACCACCAACATCAGCATTCCAACAAGGAACACTGTGTTTGTACTATGGTAGCTCTCTAAACACCACCAATTTCAGATATTAAAGAAAAGAATAAACCATCAAAAATTTCCAAGCATTTGCCAAAAATTAATATTAAATATTAATTTATGGTAAGAAAATGTATAAAGAAATTGGTCAAGTTGTAATCAATAAATATTTTGATATTTAGTACAAACTCAAAAACAACAAAATGTTAACAATCAGAAGTAAATTTTGTATTACATTTCAAATTAGTATATTAAATTATATTGCAAAAAAGGAAAACACAGAATGAAATAATTGAGTAGTTTAAAAAAACATGGAAGGCAAGGCAATATTTGCATTCCACAGAATTTAGAAAATGTTATTCATAATAGTGGTTAAACACACGATTAGAGGCAAGACAACAGCATTCAAATAAAACATTATACATATTTTAATAAGACAGAAATTAAGAAAATGAATGTTGCAAATATATATCACCATAATATTTTTTTTAAATTATTTAAAAATGTGTATGATTTCAAAAGTTATAAAACATGTTGAAAATTTAAATTGTGTTATCCATTTGCCAAAATGGCATAGTAGAATGTTTAATGAAAATTTAAAGTCACTCACAGTTGGTGCAGACAATACCAGCAGGCGACAGATGGGATGCAGTGAAGGCGTTAGATTGTTGAGTTCGGTAAGTTTTAGTACATGGGCACAAATATGATATAGTTTCATGTAAAAAGTATTCCGTAGTTTCCGGCGAATGGATGATTGATTGGCGAATGGTGGTGGGACCAATCAGTTGATGATTGGTACCACAGACGTTAGATGAAGTGTGGTTGACATTCAGGCCCCACCGATCCAGCCATGGCATGCAGACAGAGATATAGAGAGAAGAGAAATAAAAAAAGGGAAAAGAGAAAAAAGAGAAAGCACAAATCAGCAACAGTGATGCATGAAAAATTCAATTAATACTGCATATCAACAGTTCCAAATATTGACCAAAAACATACTGCAACCTCTTACTAAAACAGTTGTTAGAATAAATAAACTACACACATTTACATAATAATACATGATACAAGAGTAAAACATGTGCACAAATATCACATAGCAATCACAGCCTTAGTACACATGAACACTGTTCTAATTTAAATCAGCTATGCATAATACTGGCCAAGTACACAAAATCTAAAATTCCCTTCTGTAAGAAGTGAAATATTTAACTACTACTGAATTACTAATCAAAAATATTTTGCAACAAAGATTTGTATCAATAAATAGCAGAATATTTAATATGTAAATTCTGAAACTATTATAATTCCTGCCCTAAAACTCAGTGTTTCATAGAATACAACATTGTAATTTATATATTTCCTTAATATGTATCTGCTTCTTCAGTCTCAATATTTGAGCATGTAGATATCAAGTAAGAAATAATGGGAACAAAAAAGTACATAATTTGTTCATATTTAGCATATAAATCATAATAAAATGAAGCATATCTTGGATATACTTGGCCAGTACATATTTTCTATGCACTTAATTTACATGAATCATGAAATATGCACTGAACATCAAAGCCATGAATAATAAAAATCAGCGAAGCATGTGCCACGAATGAGCCAACACACGTATGGATGAACAGATGAATATGGAATCACTGTAAGTAGAAAACAAACAAGAAGCAAACTCCAAGAGAAATGTGATTAATGTTTTTTTCTGTAGCTATATCTAACATAACAACAGCCAACATAACCAAGGGTTTAAAATAATGAAATTGTGACAGGTCATCACAAAAGAAAACAGTATCTGATGGATAACATCAAAGTAATGAAGTTACTACAATAAAGGACTGACTCACTTTTAATCCAAAAACGTCCTCATAAAAAGAGGAGCACAGAGAATTAAAAATAACAGACTGATATGTTTGAAGAAAAATGTATTTTTAAAAAAATTCATTTTATGAAATTTATTTATGAACTGGTTTCAAGACAAAGTTATAGCAGTGCATTCACTCTTTTTTCAAAGCAGAATTACACAGATACTGTGTACCAATATTTACAGAAAATTCTACTAAACCAATATGAAATCTCTACTGTACTGGAATATACTTGGTAAGTCTTGTTATCCCAAATGCAATATTAATCTCAACAACTGTCCAAGCACACCTCCCATGGTTATCTAGAATGGGCATACTGAATGTTACAACATTGTTACATTAGTTTCAATAAATAATACACAGTGCTTGAAGTGAGGGGGATGCAGAGAGATGCCATTCCACTTCTCAGAAATTCTAAAACCATTTCACTTTCTTGAAGCAAACTTAAAATCATCCCAAAACTTCTTTAAATACTCCTACCTGAAAAATGGAAATTCATCCATTTATTATTTTTTTACATTTTGAATTTTCTAGCTTATGATTTTGTATGTTTACAAAACGAGAAATTCTAAAATCATTGTGATGGTTTAACACGCATGTGTTGTTTCATCATAGTTGGCTGTTCAGTTTACTCTGAGTTTGCTGCTACTGTAGACTCTTGGTCTTCTTGGTGCTGACTATACCTCTTGTGAATCTTACAGCTGCCTAATTCTAGTGTTGCTGCATTTGTTGCTAGTCACTCAGTAGATCTCATGTTTGTGTATACTTGAATACTCAAATCACATGTATAGTTTAAATCTTTGTTTCATGAATAATATGTTATTTATCAGTTAATGTGGATAAATGGTTGTTAAGTGGTGTTAAGACATGAGTAAATGCACATAGAAAGAAACACATCTGTCACGCTTCTGTCAAGCAAGAATATGGGATCTTCAAATAAAAACAGGACTGCTAACTATTACACTGCAACATTCAGGCAAGAGATGCTCTTTCTAACACTAATTAGTGATCATGTTGAAATACTGACGTACCTTCAAGTGGCCACATCAGTCTCAATTATACACATTTCTGTGAGCACAGACTTTATCCTTTGCCACTATGTCAAGGCTGGAGTGGAAAGATGACCACTAACTTCCACCTAGAGCTGAGGTTAAGAATGAGAGGAGCTTTGCCTCCAGCACACATTACAATTTCATAGTGTGGCATTTATGAATACAGACAAATTTACCGTCTCTTTTACACATCCAGTGTGAGGTTTATGGGGTTTGAAGAATGTTAGGATGACTGTGAATTATAATTAGGTTTTTGCCTCATCAGATTAAAATACCATATAAAACCACAGGCTAACAAGCCTGGAGCAAGTATTTAAGATATCAAGTAGATTAAACAGGGCTCATAAGATTTAACTTGTCCTTTACCTTAAAAAAAGAATGTACATCATTTAATTTCTTTGGAATTGTAACTGATTCAACAAGAAGAAACTACCATGATCCTGCACTTATCAGCATATACCTGCTGAAGTTCAGTACATTTTCAACTGAACTGTAGCATAACCTCACTGCAACCCATTAAAATACTCTCGTACAAAATTATCATCATAACAAAGAACACTGCAGAATTTGTGTTTAGTGTGTCTGTTCACACTGTTTAGTAGACACCATTTGCAAATCAGAAAGAGACAGTTATATCAGGATGGAAAGATTTGTGAACTGATAAAGACTGCGGTAATTATATTTAAATCAAGATCTTTTTCAAAGCAAGACTTATTCCAATATCTGTTTTGAGGGACTAAATAACATTGAAAACCTAAACAAGCAATTTTGGGTAGGACTCTCAAACGCACGGCATGTGTTAAAGTGTGTCTGTATAAATCTGATACATTATTAACAATACCCTAGAATTAAATTAGATAATTTTATTTCTAAAATTTCAATTCTGGCATCATGGGAAAGACTACTAATATGATTATAACTTCAGGACAGTTTGGCTGGACAGTTGTTGATGCAAAATATACAGAAAAAAGAGGAATAATGAGATCTATGTATGTTACTGTTGTCATCGATGTGTGATGACAAATGCTGAAGTGGGTCACGTGGTACAGTACCTGTAGCAAACAGCCATTAGTGTAAAGCAAATGAAGACGCCTTTCACCACAAGCACCAGAATAAGAACCATAGTGAATGTGCCAAGGTTGTTATTGTCGACATCTAGAATGAAAGTGGGTGAGATAATATATAATCATCATTAAAGCAAAAAATAATACAATATACTTGTCAGACACTGTGCCAAATATGTCTCAACTGGTACATTTAAGTCAATATAGATGCAGGAACTTCGGTACTACAACCAAAATCATAAGTTAGTAGATTAGAGAAAAAATAAATAAAAATGTACTGAAAATGTGTGCGCAATTCTAATTTGAGCAAAATATGAATATGGTCCCTGTTCTCATAATGAAAATCCTTCTTAAAATATGAAGCACATTATGCCTAAGAAAATTCCAGAAGGGGAGGGGGCCTTAACAGACAAAGATGATGATGAAGTGGCGTGAAACAAACTCTCACAAAAAAATCACCTCCACTTTCAACACAAATAATAATAATATAGCTTTCAAAATCATGTTATTTTATACATAGCTCATTAAGAGAAAGGAGACATTGAAGATTGCTGTCTTCTAGGTTATTGCGCCATGTAGTCTGGAAATCTACCACTGTGGGTTGAGTAAATATGATACTTATCTAAGCTCTGTTAAAAGCAATAACATACTTCTGGCACATTCTTATCCACGTATTTTAAGAAATGCAAGTGATTTCTTACCTGTACAAAACAAGAAATTTAATAGTGACTGGTTTGTTACATTTTTGTAATGATAATCAAACTTGTCTCACTTGGGTAGTTTATAAGAAATAATGTTTCCTATCCACCAATACTCTAAGAATAAAAGTAATAAAACTGATAAATATAGTCATAGCATTTTAAAATGGAAATAAATCTGGAATTAAAAACATCAGGATATCATGATCATGTAGTCACTATATATCTACTACTTTTAAATTTATTTGTGCAACATCAGGTTATTTATTTAGGTACACTCATTACTTGTTCAAACAGTAATATTCTGATGCAGTATAACGTCCACAAAATTGGTATTGGGATTTAACTGGTGAGGACTGGAACACTACCAATAGAGAAGTGAAACATCACAGCTGCTTGAATTGGAATTACAGAAAATGTTGGCATTTTCTATTACAAATGCATGATATATATGATTCATCTGCAATAGTGAACTACTACTATCTATATTTTATAGAGGATTAATAAAAGTACTACTAAACTTGAACAAGTAATGATGCACATATAGTAGAAATGTAGTAAGAATAAGAATGAGAATGAAAATAAGTGAAACAAACAAATGCATACACATATTAAATAATGAAAAGAAAAACAGATAATATTATGTTTATACTCCCTGATGTTACATGATTCACTAGTTTTGACAATGCTGCACTTCCAATTAATATGAGGGCACAAATATAACGTTCCACTGGAAAGCAAAACAAGAATTAGTGGGAAACTTAAGCTGACTTATAAACTATTCAATTCAGTCCTGTACAAGTTGTCTCCATCACAATGTACATGGAGTCATTCATCCTGAAACTGATTATATTCAGTTAGATGTGTAAATGAACAATGATTTTATCATAATATGGGTTAAAAGTGTTCAGCAATATAAATAAAATGCTGGAAGAAAACAGGATACTTCAATATCAAATTACACTTAATTTCATAAAAAGACTTAACACAGTTGACACACACAACAACATACGTGGAAACGTTCTGAAATTTCACATGCATCCATAAATATTTTAAAATACTGTTATATTATTAGTCCATAAAATAAGATGTCAGAACACATTTCATAATAATACATTCTGCCACAATCCCATCAAGGGTATGAAGGGCAGGAATTTATCATTATCATTCAGTACAACTCGGTAAATCTCAAGAGAAGTGTTCACACTGCAGGGATGAATGGATACCAGCAGGTAACTGAGCTCTGTTGATAATCCAATACTTCATGCTACAATGAAGCCCACTTACACAATGAGGCAACAAGGATTTGTACATAACTCAAAATTCATGGCTAGGTGAGTGAAATGGGCAAATCTGAGGGCTTTAAGCAGACAGTCTGTCCATCAGTGTAATACTTGGAAATTTTATTTGTTGTATTTGGATTTTAGATTAAAATACCTAAATTTCTTATATTACTACTGAGATCAGAAGATATGAGATGAAAGGAAGAAATCTGAAAATGGAAAAGGAAGATTCAGTTTTTGAACTGGGCTTCATATTTACTTTCATGATAGTGTTGATACCTTATAGATATCGCCAATATTAACAATTTTTGCTGGTGGTGTGAGTTGTGGGAAAAATACAGGGGCAACAACTGAGAACATTAAATGTTCTCAGTTATATAAATTATCCTTCCAGAAATTTTCTGGAAGGATAATTTATACTGAAGAGATGATAAAGGGACATACTATTATACACTCACAATGGAAACAGCTTCCGAATGTTCAAGTTCGGTGCTTAATACTAATTTATTACAATATTATAAAATTCACTGCTATCATAAAATCAGTGATGATGGATATGTTTCAAATTTTACAAAAAAGACATCTACATTGAAAAGTGCAACCTGCTGGAAAAGGAAGGAAGGAAGGAAGGAGATTTATTCCCCAATATACTTGCATGAAATTATACAATTCTTCAACTTGTAACAAAATGTAAGTGGGCAGATATGTCAGTTTCACAAATATAATGGAATTATGGATATAAATCATGCACAAGATATTTACTACTTATTTTATGGTCTCTTTGTAAACTGTAGTTTATCGACAGTGTGATTCAGAATGGAAGAATATGAAATTCTTGTATGAAAATTGTTGTTGTTGTTTCTTGGCTCTACAAACCAGTTGTGGGTTTTTGCCGCCTCCTTTTTCAGAGGTTTCCTAGTCTTTGAAGCGTGCATTTGTGAGTAGTGAGTGACCAGCCCACTGCTGCACAATTTCTACTCAATTCTGATTTGAATCAGGAGAGACTTGGGTGAGGCAACTTTATGTAGGGATGGAATGTGTAAGATTTGGGGGATATAATTAATAATTGCTTTTTAACCTTACTTTCATATTCATGCTTCACACTTTGTTATAAAACAACACATACACAAGAAGCCACATACCGTAGGGGGTTTCTTTCTTCGTAACTTTTGTTCCCTCCTTCGTGGTCTGCATGTCAGCTGATCTGGCAGTTGTATGCTCAGGTGGCAAAGTCATTTCTATCTGGATGGAACAATCTGGACCACTCCACCCCATCTCACAGTAGCATTTGTTCACATTTGAGCATACCTGTTACAACATAATATTACTTTTATTATTATGTTTTGTAAACGGTGTCCCTCAGAGCATGTAAGAAAGCAAATACACTATTAATGGTGAATTTACTTATACATGCACGGGAACTTTCGAATTATCCGGTATAACAGTCTTTTTGTCTATTAGAAATTATCTGAGAAGATACAGGGACAAAATACTAGAAATTAAATGACTATAAACTGACTTTGTAATAGAGAGAAATTTGGTTTGAATCTCCTTTAGCAAACCAGCTCAAGTTTTCATTATTTTCCATAGTGCTTACATAAAATATCTTGAAATAAACCATAAGTGTTTCTTTCAAAATCTTTCCTCACCATTTGTGATCATCGTTACATCTTGTATGAAGCAACAGATCCTTTGCATGGCTATCTTTACTGAGGTGTTTCATAGTTTTCCTCAATCCCTCCAAGCATATGCCAGAACACTACCTTAAATTAGGCCATGACGACAACCTTTCCTATCATTTTCAATTATTTTATTAATCCTCTTATAATTTGACACTATACTGACTGAGATACTGATAACATTTTTAAATAAACAATAAATAAATACATATATATCCTGTAGTTCAAACAGTATCTTTAAATAACCTAACAATCATGACTACTGAGGAAATGTTACTTGATAATTATAGTACAATATAATATGAGTAGTGAGTGAATGAGTGATGTTGATACTGCTAAATTATTACTTGTAAGGTTTTCAAACAGAAATATTTCTTTTCTTTTTTCCTCATGCAATTACAATACCAATACTAGTTTAAAAATACAGTTTAAGAAACTTTCCATTATGTCTCCATATATTATTATACTTCCTCTCTTTTAAGCCCAAATATTATACTAAGCAATGCATTCTCAAATAGTCTCTATTTATGGATCTGAGGTTTCCGCATTGATGATGATCAGTGTGATCTACTCTGCTTCCAATAAACCCATACATGTTAATAAAAATATAAATAGTTACTCTGTACATCAAAGATGTCTAGATAAGTAAATAAATTTACTTACGCCATGTCCAGAACACTCCAGGTTATTGTGGTTGCTTGGGCACTTCCCTTGGTCAATATGTGGGAAGATACTGGTACAAGTTTGATTAACACAGATCTGTCAAAGTAATAGCAATATATCAGAATTTGGTTAACATACCTTCAGAATTATTAATTTGTATCATTGCTATTTAGTAATAACATACAGAGTAATCAAAATAATCCTGGTGTGTTTTAAAACCATCACTTTTCACATCATACTACTGGTCTTGTCTCACTCATTACACTATTATTAAATAGTCACTGATACTGAACCACAAGTTTCAACTAAAATCAGTGATCAAGAATTTAAATAAAATGTACTCAAGTCACTGCACATTTTCAATGCAAATAATAATAACAAATATGATGATTAAAAATGTTTTAATATTATGTTAGACAAAATAAAATAAAGTCCAGTGATAATGTGTTCTAATAACTAATACATCCAGTTCTGGGCATGTTAACATAGGCATAACTGTAGCATATAAAAACAGCAATAAATTACCATCTACCACAAATTTTTAATATCAGCATTTAAAGGGCAAATATCTTCAAGAGCACAGAATTAGAAACAGATTCCCCATTACACCACAATCTGAGGGCAAAGTAAAAGTTGTTTTTGCTCTTAATTAAACACCACGTCATGAAGACATTCACAGCAGCGGAGAATGCTCCAAACATTCTTGGTACCAAATGGAGGCGAGCCTATCAAAATCTAAAAAAATACTGACAGAAAATAAGTCTTCAAATAATTTTGTGAAGTGTGAAGAGAACACATCAAACACATAGACAATGGTGGAAGGATAATATTAAAATGAGTCTTCAAGAAAGAGGGCGGTAGAATGTACACTGCATTCTGTGTCAGAACAGGGACCAGTGGCAGGCTTTTGTGAACATGGTAATAAACCTTGGGGTGTCATAGAAGGCAGGGAATTCTTGACTAGCTGACCAACTATTTATTATCTTCTCAAGAACAGTTTTATTCTGTGAAGTTAGTTAGGTATGTACAATACAACAATGCAGAATCTTTTGTTTATTTCATTAAAATTTTACTAATTGACAGAAGTAAAAATAACTTTGTTAACAAAAGACTGTGACGTAAGTCATTACTTATAAATTACACACTACTGCAATGTTACATACCAAATTGTCTCCACAAGGTGTACCATCTCTAACCAGTCCCATGTCTCGATTTCCAGATGAATCTTTCGTCCCGCCCGTTGACCTAGAGGTAGCATGTCAACAAAGACAATGCAAGGTATACTAACAGGCAAATAATTTAATTACAGTTACAGCATTTTTCAAATATATGTGAATGTTTCACTCAGAAATAGATAATTTTTTTATTTATTTAATACACTGTTCCTTTGCTGCAATATAAAATACTGCTGGATCTAAGGAACATCAGTAACATAGTTACATGAGAATATTACTACATTATCTCTATGAATGATCTTGCCAACTAGAGTTAAAACTGGTCAAAATTTTCTTGTATTCAACTTCATTTCACACATCTGGTGTTGGCTTCATTCAAGACCACTCCAGAGGTGTGAAGTAAAGCCAAGTACAAGAAAATTACAGTAGTTATTTTAACTAAAGCTAGTAGGATGATTCACAGAAATGTATGTACCATATTAAACTTGTTCTCCTTCGAAGCGTCACTGCAATAAATACTGAGTGCTTTTGAACATTCATATGAAGTGATATAAGTCAGGGTTTACAACAGGATGAATCAAGTAAACAGCAGGACATCTTACACTGGTAAACATTTTGTTTCTTTTATCTTACAACAGGTCCATTCTAAGAGTTTCTTGGATAAAACAAATTATATGTATGATATTTTTGATATGAAGTAATCTATGTTATTCAAAAATGGCTGTCTTCTGGGTTAGATATAGTCATATCAGAGCTATGGAATGCAAAAACCAATGTTCAGTGTTAGGCAGTTTTCTGTGTACAGAAACCAAATTAATAAATGATTGATTGATGGTTTGACTGAATTATTGACTGATGTAGAATTGGAAAGGTTAAACAGAGGATAATCAAGTTCCACTGTACTTTCACAGCTCTGTAATTTGCCTTTTAGAGAGATTTATTAAGTCACTTACTTGCATTCATATTCTTCTCCTTTGATTGAAATTATTGTTGTTGAGTAAAGCTGATCCTTTCCATTTAATGGATACCTATTTCCCAGTTTACATTGCAGAGATCCACAGCGTACATTCCTAGACACACACAAGTAATTTAACTTTTAAGTATGATCTTATTCAGTTCCACATACTTGAAGTTGCAATGCTTCAGAAGAGTAATAATATACCTAAATTTATGTACATAAGAGCATTTATTCCCTGCATACATTTTCTTCATGCACATACAACAAAGGTTAAGAAATATAAGTGACTGATATTAATTACAGTTCATTGATTTGGTATTATGAAGATGCAATCCCCTTATATATATGAATGAACTAACAGCACTGAGGAGGACTCCTTAAATCCTTCAAATGAAAAGTCACGAGTGTCCTTCAAAATATATATTTAGTACGTAAATATTCTTGTTTCGTCAGTGTTCAGAAGAAAACTTACTCTGGATCACACTTGATATATTGTCCATTGTCATCTATACCACAGTGTCCATTTATTGAACCTTTTGAGTTGAACTGGTCAAAACACTGCTTGTCACCTGCAATCCCACCTGTAACAATTCATCAACATTAATAACAAAAAGTCTTAACATGCAGTCAAAGAGTCTGTACATATATTTTCATTGTTAATAATTAGACTCATAGCATACTTAAGGTGCAGAAGTATAACAAACTTACTTAACTTCAATATGCTTATTCTACCCACTTCTGCTTTTATGCAAGCCATACCATTTTCTAGTAGAGAGTGAAATCTGATATACAGTATAGGACCAGTGTAACCCATAAATTTAAAAATCATACACAGCCACACATTCCCATTACTAAATAAAAATTTCATTCTACTGCATACTCAATTATTTTTAACATAAAAGCAATTATTCTGACGGCAAAGAGGCTATCTTTGTTGCACATTCCGCTTGGACAGAAGAAACAAAATATTATACAAAGACTTAGTTGCTAAATTTCTTAGTGGACAATCCAGTCCATAAATCACAGTTAACTACGCTGTCTAGTCAGACTGTTTTAGGTATAACATTAAAAGGATTAACACTATCATTATTATTAACATAGACGTATGGGGTGAGTACATCTCTTGCCATTGCAACACGAGCAGTATAGCCAGCAATGCATCACAGTATCATATGTCAAAACCATTAAATCCCAGAATTAAAGTCTGCCTGACAGATCTAGAGTATGGGGGTTTCAGTCCTCTATAAATAAATAAATAAATATAAATATAAATACCATCTGTGTTGGAATTGGCAAAAGAATTTGACTGTGGATGATTTTATAATTCTAGGAAACTGATAGTGATTCAATTAGTAATTGAAAATGTATCTGACTGTGGATTCAACCTAATGACTAGAACTGCTATCCAGAACTAAAACCTTAGATAAATGTTTTCAGCAAGGCATGGCCAAGACTTCTGCCATGACAATACAACCTCTCTGTAATGATCACTCAAGTGACAATTAGTTTGCTCATGGCTATAAAACTGCAGGTCTCTGTCTACATCAGTAAATTTCTAGTGTAAATTTCTGTCACAACAGTATACTACAAACTGCAGGCGAAGAGCAGAAGATAAAAATAAACTAAATATTTTGCAAGTCATATTCACATTTATACCATTCAGAAAATAATTTAAAAATTTACATATTCCTGATTATGTGAATCTGCAAGGGTTACAACATATCACAATGTTGTACCTTGTTATATAAAACATATTAAGCACTGTAAGATTAGAGGTCCTCATGGCAGGAATATGAAGATGACTATCTTCTAGGTTGTTGTGCTGTGAAGTATGATAGATGGAGGCAGCAAGTACCTTTGAAATGTTGGTAAACTTCTACCAGACTACATGGTACAATAACCAGAAGACCATCATCGTTATACTAAGCATTATTTTAAACAATTCACACCCATCTTCTATTACCACAAAAATGCATGAAATAACTCACCATATCCCCAGACTACTCCACACTGAATATTGACTGTGGGGCAGATACCGTTGAAACAATAACCTGTGTTTCCTCCACATGGATTTCCATTCTTCTTATAAATGTCCACTGGACAATTTCCATCTTCTCCTGAACAGTGTTCTGGTAAATCACATTCATTGACTGCATCTCGGCATATTACTCCACGAGGACGTAACTAAAGGTAAGAAAATAAATGTAACATGAACTTCATATGATATATCATAATAACAGCACTATAAGAATATTCTTAAGCTGTCATTTATTACTGAACTAGTTTAGAGAACCAATGGTAAACCTAATGTTAATCTTCCTTTGTGTACCCATGGGTTCTTATGCCAAGTCTTCTCATATATATTTTACATATTACTAAAGGAAAGGAGTGTATGGTGATACATTCATCCACCTTTCAGCAAATTTGCTGCCAATTCTATTGATGACACTGGTATCACAGTTTCTCATTTCTCACATTCTTTGAAAATCCTTTCCGTAAAAATCAGTTTTTCTTGTTCCCAGTAGGGTCATCAAGGAAGAAACATCTGCTCTATTTACTGTCATCGTATACTGTAATAGAAATTCCCCATTGAAAAACAAGAGTTTTGTGTACTGTAAGTGCACAGGGGTCAGTAACTCAATACTTTTCACCGAATTGTGAATGCACACTGATATGTGAACAATACACTGAATCCCTTTTTTCATCAACTGACAAATGAAGAAAGAAATTACAGGCATTTCCAGTAAGATAATGCTACAACACATACTGCGGATAATTCTATGGGAGCTATGAGTGACGTGTTTGAGGACAGAATAATCAGCGAAGGACTGTGACCTCCTATATCTTGGTCCTGTAAAACAAAATCTGATGTGTTCTACAATGTGTTATGTTGAGCGAAAGTCATCAGTACTGAAGAACAAGAAGTACAGCATACAGGTGTCTTCTAGGTCAGGTACAGCAATTTCAAAGCCCAGCATATGGTCTCTCATGTATTAAAGATTAACAAAGGGAAATGTAATTCCATTTTATAAACTAAAGCTTACTAAGCTCTCCTCAGATGTTAAGACTAATTAATGAAGCTGGTTGCAATTGCTTACTACATACCTTGCAGTCACTGCAACATGGTCCAGAAGCACACTCAGCTTCTGTGGTCAGTTTACAAGTGATAGGGTCACAGCACGGATCCTTGTCATGACACTCATCAATAGTACCACAATCACAGTCCTCACCTTCCTCAACTATACTGTTCCCGCATGTCCGTCGCATTACCAACTGCAACAGCACACGATACTGATTTTTGAATCCTGTCTTTCATTCTTACTTCGAAATTATTATTTGATGGGAGCAAATAGAAATGTAAGTAAAGTATAGTTCCTTCAGCTTTTGGTAACACTTCAGTGTCAAGTCTTAAAACAAATCCTCATTACCACCCCAAAATAAAAAAGAAAGTTAGTGTTGGGTGTGATCCAACATCTTACTTGCAGAAATAAAGCAGCTAAGTTACCAATTAGGCTAAATATGAAACGCGAACTTTCTACAGCAGTGAAAATTAAGATTTTATTCTTCTGAATTAGGAAACTGAGTATTCTTGTATTCAGAGGTACCTGTAGTCTCTTCAGACCTGAAGATGGAGCAAACTGGTTCTTCAAAAATGTTGGTAAAACACCTACGAGTATGTGCAGCATCTCAGAAGACTACAATCCAATTATGCTCAAAGTTCAACAATATGATGTTCTTCTTTGCAAAATTCTCAAATGTGAATAATAATGATAAGCTTTTACCAACATTTTCAAACAGGAAGTTCAGAATGAAGCCAACAAAATCCAAGAATTTGTTGCAGTAATTACCTCTGTGATATGTGCCAAAGGTAATGAAGAACAAATGTTTTATTGTGATTGACAGCTAGCTGTACCACACACCATACTTAAAATTATTTGCTATCTGGACTTTTTCCATCATCTTTGTTTAAAAGAAAAACCATAACGTTTCAGAAACTGGCTCTGTTTCCATCTTCAGGTGAGGGGGAAGGTACTTAGATCTGCATCAGATCATGAAAGGCGTAACATCTTATAAACATTTTCTCATTCCATTACGCAAACCTCATATAATGAGAATGTGTACATAACCAATAGAACATTGATTATGTTCAGAAAAAAATACATTTAAACGCTTCACAACATCTGCTTTGTAACAATGAAACTCCCTTACAAAACCTAAACACATAAGAAATCTCATCAAAATCCACGAAGTGTCTTTTGAGCTTAACCACGCAGAAGGGCAGATGGATGAGTAGACAAACAAACAGACATGATCTCCCACGTGTGCGTTAGTTTACGAACATTGTGCAGAGACCGCATAAACACTGAAATGTCTAGAAGCAGTGATACTGTTACCTCATTGGGTTTATTCATAAGGCAGATTCCGTGCCCTATCCTCAAGGCATCGACATAATCTGAACGACTGCACTCTGAAAATTTATATGGTTGAACATTCTCCAAACCAACAATGGACCTCGCCATGATGCAACCATGCCAGTCTCTGCAGAAGCACTCTTCTCCTGAAAAATGGAAGCAATGTAATAGGCAGTTCTGCCAAGGATTGTGGAAATACATTAAAAGTTTCTTCTCAACCAGTTATTACTGAAACATATTTTATGTGTTACCATTTCCAAACCAAATTATATTTATTGACTAATTCTGGCTTTTAAAACTGCAATATACAACATTTTTGTTAGGGAACTGGAAGTGAAGGCCTAGGATCATATATGAGAAACAAATTTAATTTGATCTTACAGAAATAGGCTTCGAATTTGTTTACTGGATTTAACTGGTTCAGGATAGAGTGCTGTGATGGGATTTTGTAAATATGGTAATGAGCCTTAAGGTTATATAGAAGCATTGAATTTCTGTAGCAGTCAAATGATTATCAGCTTCTCAAGATGGCGTCTCCTTGGTGGAGATTTTGGTTACTATGAATTAATGAGCATAATGGGGATGAAGTGTCAGGAATAACGATTATGAGTGCAGATACCTCTCCCAGAAACAAGTTTAACATTTTGCTTACTGGAACTTCTCCATCATCAGCTTATTATAAGACTTTGCAATTAATAATTCATTATCACAACTAATATGATATCATTGATTCCATATACTCACTTCCATCATCATGTCCCATACCAATGTTGTGTCCAATCATATGGGCCATGGTTCCAGCAAGAAGATGCGGTTCATATGTGTTTATGTCGACATTGATGCCAACAGATTTAGTAGTGCATACAGTTTCTGGGACAGCCATGCCTGTCTCCCCTCCCTGAAATACCTCACCACTGAAATGAAGTTATTATAATTTAAATTATTATTATCACTCTAGAACATGAGAGGTTGGCAACTGGTCTATGAAGTTGATTTTTATTCCTTGTGTCAACACAGTGTACAGCAGAATTAGTCTGAAAAAGTTCTTAGTTATTTACAATAAAGTTCATTAATGAGGTTATGTATTCACAAGGAAGAGCTAAGATCTCTAATCTCTTCTAAACGTCTACATGAATTTCTAGGTTTGACACCAGCCATTAATCTAACAATTTTCTTTTGTAAAGTGAATATCTTTTAGGTGTTTGATGAATCCCCCCCAAAAAAAAAGAAAAGAAAAAAGAAATCTAAATATCCTCTGTCAGTGGGAGTGAGTAAGAATTAAATGTCTTCCGTTGTTGAGGGGTTAATCTCTTATAACATAAAAGCTTGACGTTTGTTTGTTTACTTGTGCTCCCAGTGGGTATCATGTAATTTTATAATCATCTAGTAGATGGCAGTACAATGCATGTGATATACCCTGACATCTTACAGGAACACGGAAAATTACCATTTATTCAGAAATAAACGTATTGTACAGCTGATATAGTTCACTGCTGTTACTTTTCAGTGTTGATGTCCTGTAACATAGTATGTAGCATACGAAATATACGAGGAGTTTCTGTTTCTTAGTTTGTCTTAAATCTGGTTTAATGTTTATATGTTACTGGTGCTCTCAATGGGTACTACGTAATTACATAACTGTTCAGGAAACGGAAGTATCATGTACATCATTTGATGTACCCTGACATCTTACAAGAATAAAGAAAACTATTACTAACTCAGAATAAACCTACAGTAAAGCTGATTTTGATCACTGTTGTTCTAAACATAGTATGTACGACACACGAATGTGTGAGAGAGAGATCAAGGCTGGAAGTCAACAGTTTCAACTGACAGTGTTAAATAGAAGTACGGCAGGATAATTCCTGATACTGCAAGTACATTCTGGGACTGGCTATAACATGAAATTCAGTTTCAACATCATAATTGTACTACTGGTAACCCTCGATTTACGCTGGGGATGTGTTCCTGGACTAACCGGTGAAATCGGAATCGGCGTAAATTGGGACGATTTTATAATGTAAATCAATCAAACATTGACGAGTAAAATAATGACATTACATTTAAAGCTCTGAAATAACGTAAATAAAATAAAAGGAATTTAATAAATATGTTTTATACACTTACAATCGGCGATGGCGTGATGAAGCGGCGTTAGTTCTCTGACGAAGTCCCTGGTTGAGGATCGTCATGTTTTTTAAAGAAGGCATGCAGTGTGGACTGTCGTGATTTCTTCTTTCTTTCTTTCTTTCAAAATTTCAAAGTTTAAAGCGCCAGGAATGAAACTGTATAAGAGCAAACTCGCATAGACAAAAGTTTACATTTCACAAACAGCTTTTATCGATTCATCGATCTCATTGGAGCAAATTCGCGTCAACGAAACATACGTAATTGCAGAGATGACTGTATTTATAATTTTTATTCAAAATCAGCGATGTAAGAATTACGATTTAGTATAAAAATCAGTACGAGAAACATTGTAAAACGTTATCAATAATAATACAATATATTTCTTTCACTTTCTGACTTTCTGGTTTCAAAATCGGCGTTATTCTGAATCGGCACAAATTGGACCGGCGTAAATCGAGGGCTACCTGTATTTGCTTCGAGTTCTTGACAGTAACTTGTTACTGGTGACAACAAATGTTCACTTATTTCTCTAGTCACATATAAACTTAATTCATCAGATACCTGAATGACTAAAACATCGATATATTATTCATATAGAATGTTATAATACTTTCCAGGCCACCTATAAATTTACATTCATCAGGGTAAGCAGGCTGATTTCTATTGAGCCTCATATATAATAATGGAGAACTGTGATATGGACGATGTGCTTAGAATTAATTGTTTGCTGTACCATTTAAATTCACAACATATTTAATACAGTTTTTTTTTGTTTTTTTAGTGTTCTGTCTGACGACAGGTCCATATGAATAGGATCCTTCCATCCTTTTCTCGAACTGGGACCTGTTCATATACGTTCTTGGCAGATGATCCAGAAGTGATTTGCCATTGCCTTCTTCTGTGTGTAAATGGAGTAATTGTTGGGATGCCACGGAGAAACCGGGGAAGCCCCCGGAGGAAAACTCCGTGTCACCTATTCTTATATTATATTTCAGTTTATTAGACAGGCAGGAGGAGTCTTGTATTTTTAATTTCTGCTACACGAGACATGAGAACAATGACCCTTCATAACTAATTCAAGGAATTCTTATTCAACAAATGAAGTATAAATAAATAACTCACGTAAGCAGTTGTGTGGTGTCTTTGTCCACTTTATATAGTTTTCTGGAGGTGTAGTCGTTGAAGTTGAGCAAGGAGCGAATGATGTCTTGATTCTTTTCAACGGGGGCTTGGTTTGTACCTTGCCATGTCTCGATGTACACCACAGATACACGTGTATTTAGTGTTCGAAAGTACTGTAACATTGAGGTATCACATAAAGAAAGTATCAGAATAAACACAGTACCGCATTCCGTAGTACAAGGGAAGGCAACAAGATAACTGCACAATTGTAAATCAGGCTTGAAGATTTCTGTCTTCTGGGTTCTGGTCGATGTTTACCAACGTTTCAGAGGTCATACTGCCTCCGTCATCAGGGCGATTCATCAACCCAGAAGACAGAAATCTTCATACTAATTCATGTTTTGTTGAAAGTAATAAAGTTGTACGTACCAGATCTGCAATATTAGCAACTTGGATAGCATCATGGACGACATCCATCCTCGAACTGCCATTTCTTTTCTCAAACTGAAAAAAAATTGTAAATAATCACCTACACCTGTATAATAAATCTGACTCATGTTATGAGAGAAGACTTCATCGACCACAAAATAATTTTTGAGAATACTCAACATGAAATCAAACAAAATTACATTATTAGTAATGAAGTATAGACCAGTGGCATTATTTAAGTTGCACCTGTTTGCGTTAGGACTAGTAACCATAAATAAAACCAAATTATGTGACGTGATATTAATTAGGTTGAAATGTGCATTCGATAATAAAGTTCAATGCACCATATTAGAATGTTCTTTCGAAAATTTGTGCACGGCAATCACAGATATACACACATTTGAAGTAAATAATTGAAATGTCAGGAGACTCAAAACCAGATTTGCTGAGGACTAAAACACTAAAGGGAAAATTTTAAAATTTTAGATCACATCAGGTATAAAGAAATAAAGAACATTACCTAACCTAAAGTATGTGATATATGACACTTCATCTAACCACTTTTTTAATCGACCAAATTCTTGGCGAGTGAGTGAAAGAGTGGCTTAATGATAAAAAAATTAGATTCTCACCATAGCCTTGTCGATGACCAGTGCTGTTTCAATGAATTTGATGACATCTCTGACGTCTCTGCGGTACCGAGCGTACTCCCCTCGGTCCCTTAGGTTTCTGCTTCCTTCTTTGACGTCCCTACGGACTCTTGCGCCCTTCCTGAGAGTCCACCGGAATTTGGGGCCTATCTGGACACTCCGTCGATATCTGGAACCCGAAGCGTTGGCCTTCGTCCCTTCGGCCATTCCAGAAATATGTTTCTGGCGTCTGAAGCTGTTCATTCTCCATTCGAAGTTTCCCGAGTTAGCACAGCCTTTATTAGTCTTCGTACGAGCCTCAAAAATCACGTGAGGATGTTTCTGCTAAAGAAGAGCCGAAAGGCAAGACTGTGCAGTTATCTGTGTTGTACTTGCACAAATATATCTCACTTACAATAATAATAATAATAATAATAATAATAATCTATGAATTGTGTACATCAAAGTTTGTAAGTCCGAATTATTGTAAATAATTTAATCGAGTAGCACTTTTTGAGAAACAGAAGACCACTCAACGTCTCTAGAAATTCACCAATTTCTATGGACCAGGAAGGTTGGATAATACTGGACTGCTAATGTCTATCTTTCTCAGGGTTAGAGGCCACGGGAAGAGAATTATCGGTGTTATAATCTGGTTTTAACGGCCATACGAGGTGCGATCGGAAAGTTTCAAGACTGCGCCTATAAAAACCCGTACACTTATCTCAGGTATTAAATTCATCCATCACCCTCGAAGTAGTTCCCCTGGGAGTGAACACAACGATCCCAGAGCCGCTGCCAAGCCTGGAAGCATCCCTGGAAATCTTTCTTTATCAGCCTGTCAAGCACCATCTGCGATTCTGCCTGAATCTCTTCTATCGTCTCAAATCTCCTTCCCTTTAGCTGAATTTTCATCTTTGGGAAGAGAAAGAAGTCACACGGCGAATAAGGAGGGTGCGGGATGACGGCCACGGTGTTTGAGGCCAAAAACTGCCGAACTTTGAGGGCGGTGTGCGCTGGCGCGTTGTCATGATGCGTCGTATATACGTTTCTGCTGTTAGCATGCGCTTAGGAACATAGATTCCAGCACAGACCATCGTGTGATGAGTCCTCTGTTATAACCGAGGCTCTTCTAGTGGTGGATTGCAATGTCATAACGTGATAATATTAAATATTGGTATATATAAAGCCGTGCACTTACGTACGGAGCTGAAAAATCTCCATAAACCGGTCTGTGTTCTGGAACTTAGACGGCAGACTTTTTCTAGATGCTCAGAAACATCGGTAAACTTAAACCAGTCTATACAAGGGTGCAGCAACCCAGAAAAAAGCCACCTTCATCCACAATTTGCAATTTACAAAAGAACGTAGTTAACTTCCCACGCAGAATTAGGAACATGAACATCGTGGCTGAGTTCAAAACTCATAGCATAACAGGCGTTGCTGCCTCTAAGATGTTTCTGGCTACTACCAGTACCACTACCATGCCGTTTCTCAGTAATCCGTTCTGTCTACATTCCCTTCTCAGAGTGAAACACTTCTTCCGTGTAGCAGCACAGTGATAACAAGTGGCTAACGATGCAGTACACCCAGCCTTCCCGTTCCCCGCTCATCAACAGCCACCCATCCATCGCATTTTTAGATATTTGCCTCCTTGTGACGTACGTCTATAAGCATAACAATCCGAATAAATAAAGTTGTCATATTTATTAGCGAAACGGACAAAATACCGTCAACTTTTGTGTTGCCTGTCGCATATCTCTATGAGACTGCAGACGTTCTAGACAGTAAAATTGCTACTTTGCGCTTTGCTTATTATCTAAATCATACAAGTGAAAAACTACAACGTTTCGAAAGCTGGAAGAAGACATAGTTCCTATAAGTTGGGACCCCTGGTTGAGCTAGCCTCAGACCAGAAGGCTAACTAGGTTGTAATATAATTATTACTACGACAAACGTGTAATTTTTAACATCAAAGATGCCCAACGATTTGCAAAAGTTCAGCAATTTGTAGTCTGACTCATTTAATACGACTTTACTAAGAACGGCGTCACCCTCTCGCTGGTTCCTGAACACAAACCACACACAACTTTCGGCTGTCGGTCCACGCTGCTGCCTAATCGCAAACTAAGTAATTAGTACGACAAACATGAGAACAAGTTCGCAGATCATGTTACTACGGCCTTGCTATCCGGAATCAGCTAAGTTCTACCCACTGCCATCTGCATGATATGTGTGAAATAAATTAACTGCGATGACGAGAATGTTTGGAAACTCGAAACTCAATAAACTAAGTTACCCAAACCCTTTCGTGTTTGTGTTAAAGAGACCATTTAACAAAAAAGGAAGGTTAAGGCTTTAATATTCTTTCAAGTTGGCCATTAGAAACATCTTAAAGTAGGAATACGAGTTTGTGACTAAGAAAAACGATTTCATGGTTCCACGGAAATACTAACCCTGGTCACGAAATTCGTAACCAGTCAGTAGAATTAATATGTCTCTGTGTAATAGTAATGATGACATTCTTATATAAAATAAATTACACGCGAAACAGATGTTAATAAGTGATAAAACTGTATTACATAAATCAATACGGCGGTCTGGATTATCAGGTTCTTTCTACAATTCTATTTAATAAAATTTCACAAAATACTTTCGGAAAGTCTCGAATTTTATCGCTTATACTTCCAGATTAATTCCTGCGCCACTTTTCAATGGACATAATTTTTCCGCCTTCCTCTGTAACTAGACTTCTCTACTAATTCTAATTTCAACGAGTTATGCATAATTCTCAGCGGAAGTGTTCGTTCTAATGATATGGAACAAATGAAAGGGTTTTCTTGTATCAATCTATGATTTAAAAATTCTCTGCAATATGAAATGTCTGAAATGGACACTCTAGCAATTAGATATTCTTATTTATTTATTTATTATATCTTATTAGACGACGCTGTTAGCAGCACAAAATACATAACATCGAATATTTGCCTGGAGGGACTGAGTAAATCCAGTCTCAGTCCGGGCAGCCAGAAACTTCCCAATCACTCGGCCTTGACACCATTCGATAGATTTTCGTATATCGCCATTAAGAATCATTCAAGATTACGCTTAACACCACAAAGCCAAATGGTAACTATATGCACTACCTGCTATAATAATCAGTAAAACTATATTTTTTTTCCCACAGTGTGTATTAATGGTTTCTTATGATTCTCGGAACAAACAGTGATCAGCTCCTTAAACAAGATTAACCAGTTGATCTTTGTAATGGAGAATTATAGAGTTTTCTTTGATGAATGAACTGAACTTTTGAAGGCAAGATGTCAGGTTCTCGGGAGCTTCGTCTTGAAAGGATTTACACGGTCTTACTTAATAATCTGGAAGTTTTATGTGGTGTTTCAATCTGCTCAGCCAGCATAAAATTCACATGGAAATTAAAAACTAACACAGCGGTTTCTGATACCTCTAACCTATGCATCAATTTAGTGTGTCTGAGTAACATGTATATTAGATGAATAATTTTAAAATATGACGACAATACTGTGTATTCTGTATGGTACGCGCATATAGCACACAAAAAAATTAAATTATAACTGGAAAGTATGAACACTGGTCGAAGCGCTTGTTCGACTAATCAGTACGATTTATAACAGGAAGTGATTGATATGTGATTCTGTCTCGACATCAGCATATAGAAAATAGGATTGGATATTTTAATTTTAAAACTATATAATGCTGAAATTCATAAAGGAATATTTTCAATTTTGTTACGAAGTTAATGCGTTATATTTTCCAACAACATAGCCGATACACTCATGCCAATCCAGGGTTTATGAAAACCTTAATCAGATTGCAAAGAATTGTGATTTTAATTCTCGATTATGATTAGTTGATTTTTAGGGAGTTTTAGTGTGGAACGTATGGTAGCAGCGCACACAAACGACTGTATTGCAAAACAATTTATGCCACTAACTTGTTCCGTCTCTCGCTCCTATTCATGTATTATCCTAATTTCAGGCCATCATAAGTACTGCTAATGAGGTATTTGTTCTCGACCGACCACGAGTTTCTGGTTATTTAAAATGTTGTTACAGAAATGTACAACCACAACAAATATAATTCTATACGACAGCAAAATCCCTGCCTTTCCAATTGTGGTATTCCTGGTAAAAGAACTAAGAGCATCTGGTCATAAATGACAGCGACGCATTGAAACTCAATAAGGCTATTTTTTTCCTTTCCATATCGACTTTACGTGTCTGTGATTTGAATGTGTATGATAAAACTTCCTTGAACACTCTGTGTTTAGTGTCACTAAATATAATACTAGGCTGTATGTGGTCTTATAAATCCAAATTAAAGCCATACACTTATTACATTCCAGTGCTGTAGGAATCAAAGCGTACTTTCCGTCTAAAATAGTTTAATAACGCCGAAATGTTGAAAATAGAGCCTGTTTCAATGTTACGTCACTCATCACCCTGAGCAGTTCAGGTCCAGACTGACGAACCAGATAATTGTCCTATTCATTTAAAGTTCGCGATAATATCTATAAATCATTATCTTGGATCCAAGCAGCATGGTCCTGTCAGAAATGGTCACGAAGGATGAATTTCGCTACCCATTTCGTCTGAACAGAATCATTATCAAAAGACTGGAACGTATTTCGCCCAGGAAGCTCGTATTCTTTCACACGTTTCTCTAGTTTTAATATTTTTTTAGGGGATAGTAAACAAATTTTATCTTTTATAAAACATTAAAAACTTTTAATAAATTATTAACTAACATTCTTTAAATCGTACGTGAATAGAAAAATATTTATTTAAAATTTAAACAGTAGTTCTTGATAGAAATTCTTATTTGACAAAATAGTTTATGCTCCAAGAGAAGCATCGGTAGGAATTTAATATCTCTCGTATCTTTTATACGCTTCAAAAAGAAAGGATCTTTTAAACCCGGCAGCAAAGACGATTCGATCCAAATCAACTGGATCGCGAAAGTATTCCGTAGAGCACATTTATATATCTAACAACAGGTTTACGTCTGTACTACATGACCGTGAAAACCAAGAAGGTATGAAAAACAGAGAACTCATTTAGAAATTATATGTATTCCTTACAAGGATAAATTTTCTCTGCCATTTAAATTTCCTAAACTGTACTATAATTAAAATTTTAAAATAAAGATTACGAGAAGCAGCAAATTCAAATTCGATATAAAATCATAGATGTGTGAGTACCAATGAAATGTATGTAGCTAATTTAATTTGTACACACAAAATATAAAGCAGAGAAAGCAAAATGACCTAAAAAAAAGCTGCTGTGTTAGCTCATGAAATAGATGAT